AATAGTACCACGCAGAACCTGGGATATCCTGCCTCTGATTCTTAGAGCCTGATTCGCTGTTTCATAATCTTCCAGAGTGCCCCGGTGCCCGGCATACCCCAACTGCATCTCTGTGGAGCTCTGAGTACTCCAGTGGCGTTTTCTTTATCTTTTATAAAGTTCTGTCACTTTCCTTTACTCTTTCATGTTGACATTTTTATTGCAAAGGGCAGCCCCACAGTGTTCTTCTCAATGGATTCAGGTCGCACAGCTTCAACGGGTACAGCATAGGAAGGAAGGAATAACTTACAGACTTTGTAGCACTTGGTGTTTGGAGTCTGTCAGTGATACTAGCTTGCTCAACGTGATACCTGCTGGGTCAAGAAATCACAATAAATGATACGTTTTTTTTTTCTTTGCTTGTTTTGAGACAGGGTCTAATGTATTAGCCTAGGCTGGGCTCAAATTCACTATGTAGTTAAGGATGACCTTGAACGTCTAATCCTCCTGCCTCTACCTCCCTCGTGCTAGGATGACAGACTTGCACCACCATGCCTGGTTAATATGGTGCTGGGGGAAGAATCAAAGGTTTTGTGTACACCAAGCAAGCACTGTACCAGCTGAGCTACATCCCTAGCTGAGAAAGGTGCTTTTAATCTCTTGGTAACGAGTCGGTATTCAATGAGGAGATTCTGCTACCCTTTGATTTAGTGTCTGTTGATGATTTATTTTTAATCACGTGGATCTCTGTGTGCACAGGAGTGTAAGTGACCTCAGAAGCCACACGTGTTAGAACCCCTTAAATCTGCAGTTACCGATGTGAGCTGCCATAGGGGTGCTGGGAATCGAGCTAGGGTCCTCTGAAAGAGCAACCAGTGCCCTTGCCCCAATCCTTTGAGCACTCTCTCCAGCCCCTGTTGGTGATTCCTGCTTGGTGACTGGTGTTACATCTGACATTGTCAAGTGTGTGTTGTCTTGTGACTACCATTCCATGTACACATGTAGATGGATGTGCTACCATAACAAACCTTTTGGCGTATTCATTTATTCACTTCATTTATTCATTGTCCTCATTCTTATTATTGGATGTGTGTTTGCATTCAAGCATGCATGATTGTGCCACTGTTTGTGGAGGTCAGAGAATGACTTTCAGAAGTCAGGCCTCTCTCTGCCTCATGGGTTCTGGGGATTAGGCTCAGGCCATTAGACTTGTGTGGCTCTTTGACCCTTTGAACCATTTTATTTGCCCAGTTTAAAAAAAATGAAAAGAAAAGAAAAAAGGAGAAAAAAGAAAAAGAAAGCAAAACCCATAGCTGACAATGTGGCTTAGTTTGTAGAGTGCTTGCCTAGCATGAATGAGTCCTGGTTTCTCTCCCCAGCAATGCAAAAGCCAGGCATGGTGGTGTGGACTTGGCACTTCAGGACTCAGGATGTGGAAGCAGGAGGATCAGGGAGTTTACGGTCATATTTAGCTACATTGCAAGTTTCACCAAGTCCGGACAAGATAAGACCCTATTTCCAATAAGAAAACAAAAATCTGTATAGAATTTGGGTTACATGAGGAGATCATATGTCAAACAAGCAATCATTGTATATTATAAATGCACTCACACACACAAACATACACACACAAATTTGGGATCAAACTCACAGCCACACATATGCTAGACAAGCCCTCGACCAACATGAGCCATATCTCCAGCTCACTTCATCTCTCTCTATCTCAGTGGACTATAAGCCTTCAGTTTAATGACTCATTTTGTTGCTCAGATTGTCCTCAGTTTGACTCAGGAAACTCTTTAAGCTAGTTTCCGTGCCCCCTTTGACCGGCTCCCATCATTTTTGAGCATGTTCTTTTTAAAGGCATCTTTATTTTAACTTTGTGTTATGAGAGTTTGTCAGCATGCATGTGTCTGTGTGCAGTGTCCACAGACACCGGAAGAGGGTCTTTGATCTCCTCAGGCAGGAATTACAGATGGTTGTGAGCTGCCATGTGGGTCTTGAGAACTAAACGCTGGTCCTCTGGAAGAGCAGGCAGTGCTCTTAACTGCTGAGCTCTCTCTCAAGCCCCTTGAGCTCTTTCTTATTGCAGGGCAAAGCTACACTTTTACTTGGACTCTCCTTGGCTTTGGAGATGTTTCTTCAGGGAGTCCTGTTTCCTTTCAATGGGGGATGGGTTCAAAAGCAAAGAGCTGGCATGCCTGTAAGATCTAACAGTTTGAAGACTGGGCTGCATAGCAAGAGAGATTCTACCCTTTAAAAAGATAGATGGGGTGGAGAGGGAAGGAGGGAGGAGGGAAAAAGGAAAGCTAGAGAATGAAGTTACTGGAATCGTTCTCCACTCTTTTATTTTTATTTATTTTTTGGTTGTTGTTTGCCTTGCTTTTGAGACAGAGTTTTGCTATGTAGCTCAGACGAGTCTCCAACTCTGTCCCTCTCTCTTCAGCAAGCTGCCATCACACCTGGCTTTGATTTTATCCCTTGAATGTATAAAATATTAACATAACTCTGAAGATCAAAATCATGCAGAATTGTGTGCTTTTTCTCATCTCCGTGGTCTACCTACTCCATGCTGCAATCAGCCTCACTTGTTTGTCAGTTCTCCTTATGCTTATTTGTGCAAAAATAAGCAGATGCACATGTATTCTCTCTCCTCTCTCTCTCCCATTTCAACACTGAGGATTGAATTTAGGGCCTCATTCATGCTGGACAAGGCTCCTCTCCTTTTACATTCCCAGCCTGGGGATTCTAGACTGGTGCTTATCACTGAGCCATGCCCTCCAGCCCCTCACCGTGCAGGGGAGGATTCGCACTGAGCTATATTCTCACACCTCTTCTTTTTTTTCTTTTCTTTTCTTTTTTTTTTTTTTTTTTTTTTGGTCTTCATTATCTTGACATGGTCTCACTAGTTTGCTCAGGCTGGCTTTGAACTCACAATGATCCGGGCTAGTTACAAACTTTCAGATGTGGGTCCTCTGAAAGAGCACCAAGTACTCTTAAATCCTGAGTCATCTCTTGAGTCCTCCTATTGTACTTTTTTTTAAAAGTATTTTTATATGTATGTGTGTGCATGGTGCCCAAAGACGCCGGAAGAGATGTCAGATCCCTAGGACTATAAGTATAGACACCGTGGGTTGCCATTGTGGTGCAGAGAATTGAACCCAGGTCCTCTGGAAGAGCTGCCAGTGCTCTTAACTGTTAAGCCATCTCTCCAGTCCTTGTATTCTGTTCCTGAGGCAATCTGGATTTGATGCCTAGAAAGCACATAGAAGTGGAAGGAAAGAATAGACTGCACATAGCTGTCCTTTGAACTCCATGTGTGTGCTGTGTTAGGCACAGCACCCCTCTCCAAACACACTGTCCACTCACATACAGTAACAAATACCTCTTAAAATGATCCCTTCTTTTATGCTTAAGAGTACATTCTAACCCAGGCATGTTGGTGAGCCCCTTTAATCCCAGCACTTGAGAGGCAGATGTAGGAAGATCCCTATAAGTCTAAGGTCCTGGTCTACATAATAGCTCTCCGCCCTTGGAGAGACTGGGTATTGTCAGGAATGGGTTAAAGATGAGTTCACTTGTAGTTTTTATGAGTAGTATGAGTGTTGGTCTGCATGTATGTCTGTGCACCATGTGTGTGCAGTATCCACTGAGGTCAGAAGAGGGCATCGGATACCTTGGAACTGGAGTTACAGACAGTTATGAGCCACTGTATGGATGCTGGGAATTGAACTTGGGTTCTCTGCAAGAGCAACAAGTGATCTTAATGGATAAGTTATCTCTCTAGATTCTAATGAGTGTATTAAGTATTTTTTCATTTATTAATTACTAAGGGGTACTTGCAAGTGCCATAGAGCTCATTTAGAGTTCAGAGGACAACTCGTCTTTCTACCATGTCTGTCTTGTGAATTGAACTCAGGTCTTCAGTGTTGTCAGCAACGCCTTTACCCACTGAGCCATCTCATAGGTGTGAAAGTCATAGGCTTTAAACATTTGAGGTATAACTCATATAAGACATAACTCATATATAACTTTTAGTAGAGCCAAAGCTGCATAGTTATCCCCTTAGCTGGTTTTAACAGATCTCCTCTAGGACTGAATATAGAGAGTTGTGAGCTGCCATTATGATGCACAGAATTGATCTCAGGTCTTCTGGAAGAGCAGCCAGTGCTTTTAACCACTGAGCCCTCTCTCCAGGCCTCCTAGGATACTTCCATTTGTGTGAGTGTTAGTTGGTGCATGTGCACCTGCACACACAGGCTGGGGGCTGATACATGGTATTGCTTTTCATCTCTTTCCTGGATCTCATCCTTTAGGATGTGGAGAAAGACCTATTTCTTTGATCCCTTTGTTCTTCTTATCACAGATGGATTTGTGCCTAATGGGTATCCACTATCCTGTCTTTTACCTCTTTCAGTTGCACTGAGGTCTCAGATGTGGGGTGGGGTGAGGGCAACTGGTGGATTCATCTCTGGGTTCTCTGTACCCAACCGAGGCCAGGAACAGGTGGTCCTTCAAAACACAGAAGTGAAGTCCCACCTGGAGACACATACAGGCTTGTCACGACAGCTACTTGGAAGGCTGAGACAGGAGGATCAAAAGTTCAAGCCTGTCCCGGCAAGTTTCCGAGATCCTTTCTCAAAAAGTAAAAAGAAAGGGAGAGAGCTCTGTGGTCGAGCTCCAGCCTAGAATCTGAGAATTAGCTGTGGAGTACCTGCCTAGATAGAATTCAGCAGGGAGGGGCAGAGGTTATGGTCCAGCGATAGAACTCTTCCATAGATTCTCTGGTGTGGAAGCATGGCTCAGCAGCAGAGTGCTTGCCTAGAACCTCCATTGTGAGGCTGGCGGTATGGCTCAGTTATAGAGCAGGAGCACCTGCCTAGAGTCCCCTAGTTGTGTGAGGGGGCATTGCTCAGAAGTAAAGACTTGCATAGCATGCTGGGTATAGTGCATAAGGTGAAACAGTGAGCTGGAGTTGGGGGTGCTCCCTTCTCATGTTCCTGGCACCCTTCTCCCCTTAGGTCTCTCCTTGGTGGTGGGCTTGGTTCTGTACATCTCCAGCATCAATGATGAGGTCATGAACAGGCCCAGCAGCTCTGAGCAGTACTTTCACTATCGATACGGGTGGTCGTTTGCCTTCGCTGCTTCCTCTTTCCTTCTCAAAGAGGTGATGTGTTGGGCCCAGTTTGAAGAAGGAGGTGGGAGTTTCGGGGTGTTCTAGCTCCTGGGGGTCTGCAGCAGATGTCTAAAGATAGGATCTTCTGGGTTTGGGAGGAGAGAGAGAAACAGAGAGGGGGGGAGGGAAGGAGGGAGGGAGGGCGGGAAGGAAGGAGAGAGAGAGAGAGAGAGAGAGAGAGAGACCCTGAGGTTTGATGACCTTCTGAGGCCTTAGAGGTGGGAGTCCTGGGTTCTTGGGGAGGAGCAGCCCAAGGATGGGACTCCCTGAACAGAGAACAACCTGATCCCTATGCCCAGGAGGAAAAGAATTCTGTGGGTTATGAGGAAGGTGGATGGACTGCGGATCTAATCTATGGGTCCCAGAGAGGGAAAAGTCTAGGGATTCTAGCTCCTGGGGGTCTTGGGAAGGCAGAAGCTGAAGGAAAGCCTGTGGGTTGGACCCTTGAAACTTTGGAGGAGGATGAGGAAGTCCTTGGTCCTGGGAAAGAACAGAGCTGGGGGACCAATCTCTCTACTTTGCAGTGGGAGGATCTAGCAGTCTGATTCCAGGAGGAAGAAGAGGCTGGGGATGTGCCTGTATTACGAGGGAGGTGGGTTAGATGTGGATCCAACCCCTAGCTCCTGTAGAGGAAGTGGTCTGGGTGTTCCAATTCTTGGGGTCCTGGAGGAGATGAAAGGTGAGGCCTCTTGGGTTTTGCAGAAGGAAGTCTTGGGGGGTGATATTCAGCAGTGACTCCCGGGTTTTGGTAGAGGAAGCGGCAAGAGGGTGCCTCTGGGATTCTGACGGTGCCTTGCCACAGGGGGCCGGAGTCATGTCCGTGTACTTATTCACCAAGCGCTATGCGGAGGAAGAGATGTATCGCCCGCACCCGGCCTTCTACCGCCCGCGTCTCAGCGACTGCTCTGACTACTCGGGCCAGTTTCTGCAGCCCGAGGCGTGGCGTCGAGGTCGCAGCCCTTCCGACATCTCCAGCGACGTCTCCATCCAGATGACGCAAAATTACCCTCCAGCCATCAAGTACCCCGACCACCTCCACATCTCCACTTCACCGTGCTGAGGCTGGGCTCCCCCCTCTCCTCTTCCTCCTCCCTCCCCTCACCTGCCCTTCCCCAACGCGGCCCCAATCCCTTAAGGGACTCTTGGCTGGGGGCTGCTGTGCCACCTCCAGGCCCCAACCCATCATCCTCATTTCGATGGCTCCCTCTTTCCAACCTCTCCTCATTAGTCCGTTATACTTCCAAATGATTCCCTCCCTTCACCTTCACCTGCCTAACCCCGGGTGTACCCGTCCCCTCTCCTGGTCCCTCTCCAACTCGGTTAACTATCCTCTGGTGGTATCTTGCACCTAGCTCCCCCAAATCCTTCAGGCTCCCGCTTCCCTACAGGGTGCTGGGCTGGAGAGTGGGTGTGACAGCCACTGGGAATGCCCTTGAACTCCCTTCTTTCCTAGCACAACACCACGTGCCCTGCAGGTCCCTGGTGGTGGCGGGTGGGAAGAAGCTTGCTCTGCCCACATCTGCTGGTCGGGTCAGGGGCTGCAGGGATACGACTGTGGCTTACCTTGACTTTTCCTTTTCTGTCGCCTCTGGGAGACACTATTTCCTCTCTTTCTGTTGTCCTCTGGAAGGTGACCTTCCTTCTAATAGATCCTTCTTCTTTCTTCTTCCTTCTCCACCCTCCTCCTCCCTGCCCTCCACCCCCCTCTTCTCACTTCTCTCTTTTCCTTCTTCCACCTGCTCATCCGAAGTCCCTAGGTGCATCTGGTCTCTCACACCAAACAAGGATGGGACCCCAGGGTGGAGGGAGGTTCCCTCATGCTATCTCCACGCCTGTGCCCGCCTCTCCCCCCTCGAGGTCCCATCGGGGGAGGGAGGGGCAGTAGCGGGGGTTAACGCCCCCCAAAACCTGTCTTCCATTTTCTGGTACTCCCTCTCATCCATGTCCCTCTTCCCATCTCAGTTTCCCTAACTCCGGCCTTTTTCAAGGGCCCGTCCGCCCCCTTGGACAGTTTGGGGGGGGGGGGTTGCCAGAAAACCACCCATCCCACTCCCTTTATTAGGGGAGGAGGGGCGAGGTAGCACAGTGTTAACACACGGAACCAGAACGGCCCCGGGGTGGGGGGAGGGGACGGGAGGGGAGGGACCAGGGGCTTTTAGTTTGCATCTTAGGTGGGAGGGGGGAGGGAGAACCGCAGCAGTTATAACCTGTCTTTACGCAGCGATTTTTAATGAGGCTGGGGGAGGGGGGAGGGAAGCAATAAGGGTGGGGAAACGGTGGGGTGGGGGGCCTGGCTCTGTTATTTACCGTGTATCATATGTAAATACCGACAGAAACTTCAATAAACTTTATTTCAAACACGTCTCTGCCTAACCAAAGGGAAGGGGTTGAACACAACAGGCCTATATACTTGTATTGGTTTTTCCTGTGGGTAAAGCACTATTATACTGACTAGATCTTACCAAGTGTGGTGGCACACACCTTCTGTCCTAGCACTCAGAAGGCAGAGGCAGACAGATCTCTGTGAGTTCCAGGACAGCCAGGACTACACAGCGATACTTTGTCTTCAAAAATAGAACACCACAGGACCAGGTTTGTAATTCTGGACTTGGGAGACAAGAGACAGGAGGATTGCTGCAAGTTCTAGGCAAACTTTCAAGGCTTTCTCAAAAAACAAAACTAATGCCACCAAGATGGCTCAACTGGCTATCTGAGCTTGGTGCCTCGAGCCCATTCTCGCAAGTTGTCATCTGACCATACACATGAACACACACACACACACACACACACACACACACACACACACAGTGGCATGGAGTGCTTGAGGCCCCTTCCCTTCCTCCCCATATTAATAATAAAATTAAAAATAAGTCAGGCAATGGTGGCACATGCCTCTAATCCCAGCACTTAGAAGGCAGAGGCAGGCGGATCTCTGAGTTTGAGGCCAGCCTGGTTTACAGAGTGAGTTCCAGGACAGCCAGGACTGTAAAAAAAAAAAAGTAAGCTAAGGAAGGATTTGGGATGTAGCTCAGCTGGTAGAGTGATTGCCTAGCACATCTGAGGCCTGAGTCTTATTCTCTGCCAGGCATGATGGCACTCAGGAAACGGGGAAGCACTAGGAACAGGAGTTCAAGGTCATCGTTGGCCATGAAGAGAGTTTCAGGGCTCAGAGAGAGAGAGAGAGGAGAGAGGAGAGAAGAGAGAAAGTGTTGAAATATTAAGTTATTTAGGTAATTTTATTTTAGCATCACCTCAATTCAGTTCTTGTATGAGGACAATAAATGACCACAGGGTTAAGGTCAATGCAAAAACAAAAGCAAAACCAAGAAAATGCCCATCTCTTGCTATTCCTCTTGCTGCTTACTGCACTGTCCCCGCCGCTCACACTGCTCTATGTGACTTTCTTCTCAGGCCCCCTGTTGAATTTCCTGGCCTCTTTGTGCCCATTCAGCCGACGAGGCCAATGAGAGCACTCCTACAAACTGACAGCCTTTGACTGGCACCAAGTCAGTCTGGCTCCCAGAGCCGAGCTTCCTTTCCTGGTACAGGCGACAGTGGGCTTCCCATGCTGGGCCCTTTTGCTAGGCTTAGAAGCAACTGCAGCTATTTATCGTACATCAACCATGAGGCAGGTGCTTCCATCTGAGCACAATCCCATGAGCCATTTGCAGCAGTGGGTGTGTAGGAATTCCCACTGTTTGTATAGGTGAGGGAGCAAGGCTCAAAATTGGATTCTAAGAGCTGTGATTCCCCTATACTGGGAGACTGAGAACAGCCAAAATATAAAATATCTGATAAATTTATAACTGAGATTCACCCCCCTTCCACAACTGAATCCTGGAAACCAAGCTAGAACTCTGTGTCACTGAGCCACACCCCCGTCCCTCTATGGGGGTCTAGGCAGATGCTCTACTACCGGCAAAAGCGCCCCTCCCCCACCCCGTGGTCCCCATAAACTCAATCCTGAAAGCTATTGGAAAGAAGTATGATGTCTGCCTCGTGTTCTGTCTCATCTGTGCAATGATAATGGCCTTGCAGCCATGACACGTGGGTCACAACCACAGCCATGAGGGAACACGTTCTGTTTCTTCAGTCATTGGTTTTCCCCACCAGCCTGTGAACTCAGCATTAGTCCCATGGTACAAGTGAAGAAACTGAGGCCCAGGGAGATGAGGTTACTCAGCTATTAACGTGTGAGCTAGTCCTGTGTCCAGGCTTTCCTTGGTTCACAGTTAATTAACTCTTACATTAAAAAAAAAAAACACGGGAGGAGGTGAATGAGGGGCGTGGTGCGCACATGGAGGTCAGAGGACACTTTCAGGAGTCCCTTCTCTCCCTCTACCATGTGGATGTCAGTGAACGAACTCGGTGTCAGCCAGGCAGCAAGCTCCTGTCCCCTGCTGAGACCACTTGCCACCCCCAGCTGCCACATTTTACCCCTGAGATTTTATGCAAACTCATGCTGTGACCTTGAGGGAGCCTTTTTAATTCCCGAGGCTTTGCTTTCCTTTTCTATCTAAAAAGAAAAACGAGGGGGATGGTTTAGAATGATCCCAAATCTCTCTGGACCAGGCAGGATGATCTGGGGAGGTTCTCAGGAAAGAACTCAGATCCTGCAGGGTCAGACTCCCGGAGGGAAATACATTCTGAGTCATTTCCCATGATTCCAGGAATTTCTGAAGGTCAGGCTTGAGATTCGCAATGGCAAGCACAGTTCAGCTTCTTTGCTGAGACTAATTGATTCCTAGCGGTGGCTTGGAACACAGTATTAGAATTCTATGAACATGGATTTGCTCAGGAGGAGAGAATGTCCCTATCTACTGGTGCTGTCTGCCATGCTGATAGATTGATGCTGTCTGTCGTGCCGGTAGCAGGGGCGGTGATGGTACAAGTGCTGGCGATTGCTATATGTATAGAACGTAACAACCTCAAATCCGGAAGCTGATGCCCTCTTTTAAAAATCAGAAGCCACAGGAAATCAGAAGCTCACTGGGTAGGCGCCTTTGCTATCTAGGGTATGAGGACTTGAGTTTAAATTTCAGTCACTCATAGAAAAATAGCTGGGCATGGCCACACGGGCATGTAACTCCAGCGCTGTGAGGGGCAGACAGGAGGGTTGCTAGCTTCTGGCTTCTGGCTTAGTGAGGGAGTGAGAGGGTCTGTTTCAAAAGGAATATGGCAGAAACACCTGCAAACTCCTCTGGCCTCTCCTTGTGCACATGCAGTTTCCTTTGTAGACCTGGATGCCCTGGAACTCTGGAACTTACTCTGTAGACCAGGCTGGTCTTGAACTCACAGACATCTACCTTCCTCTGCCTCTTGAGTGCTGGGATTAAAGGCCTGCGCCACTACCGTCCAACAGGTTTCTGCCCTCTTACTGAGTCAAAATGATTGGTTCTTCCTAAAGTTTCTTTTTGTCAGGTGTTTGTTCACAACCAGAGGAACAATAACATTCATCTTGCTTTATTGTTTGCTACATTTTGACGAGGAAATCCAGAGTGGAATTTTTTTGGTTTTATTTTGTATTTTTTTTTGTTTGTTTGCTTTTGTTTTTTGAGACAGAGTTTCTCTGTGTAGCTCTGGCTGTCCTGGAACTCACTCTATAGACCAGGCTAGCCTCGAACTCACAGAAATCTGCTTGCCTCTGCCTCTTGAGTGCTGGGATTAAAGGTATTCCCCACGACTTCCTAGCAAAAAATTTGTATGAAAAAAAATCTATATGTGTGTGCATATGGAGGTCAGAGAACAATGCTGTCCTGGACCTGGCGAGGATCGAACTCAGTTCATCAGGCTACACAGCAAACCAACCAGGTATCTCTCTCACTGTCTTAGTCAGGGTTACTATTGCTGTGATGAAATACCATGACCAAAGCAACTTGGGGAGGAAAGGGCAGTTCATCATCAAAAAGCAGTGAGGGCAGGAACTCAAACGGCAGGAACCTGGAGCAGGAGCTGATGCAGAGGCCATGGGAAGGATGCTGCTTACTGGCTTGCTCAGCCTGCTTTCTTACAGAACCCAGGACCAACAGCCCAGGGATGTCACCACCCACAATGGACTGGGCACTCCCGCAACAATCACTAATTAAGAAAATTCCCTATAGGCCTACCTACAGCCAGATCTTATGGGAACATTTTCTTAATTGGGGTTCCCTCCTCTTAGATGACTTTGGCTTTTGTCAAGTTGAAATAAAACTATCCAGCATAGCCACCATCAGCAAGAACCATTGCCAAGGTACTATCAGAATTCTGTTTGTTGATGGGTAGAGTTTTTTTGTTTGTATTTTGTTTTTTGCTTTTTTTTTTTGACAGTCTTATGTATCCCAGGCTAGCCTCTAACTCATCAAGTAGGCAAGGCTGTCTCATGTGCCATCATCTCTGCCTTTTATTTTATTTTATTTTTTCAAGACAGGGTTTCTCTGTAGCTTTTGGTTCCTGTCTTGGAACTAGCTCTGTAGACCAGGCTGGCCTCGAACTCACAGAGCTCCGCCTGCCTCTGCCTCCCGAGTGCTGGGATTAAAGGCGTGCGCCACCACCGCCCGGCCATCTCTGCCTTTTATGAGGTTGGGTGATTGAAACCAGGTTTGTGTGTGCTGGGCGTGCATTCTACAAACCGAGTTGTATCTTCAGCAGGTACCGTGACCTTTGAGCACATCTCTTGAGAAGCACTCTGTGATGTTGCTTGCACAGGTGTCTGTTTAGATGCACACACAGATGGGCAGGAAGCACGTATGTGTACATTTTACGTAACAGTCATCACAGAAGGCTCAGAGTTCTCCACCTTCCAACTACACATGTGGAGTGGAGCCAGTTTCATATCAGTTATATAACCCTTCTTGACTATTTTCCAAGGCCACTTAATAACAATAGTTTGCATAAATCAGTTGCATAATTTAGCAAGTACTTCCTGTCACTGGCCACTTTGCTTTAAGTCGTTTACGTCCGGTAACCCGTGGAGGTTTGGCAGTTATTATCATCTCATTTTCTAAATGAGATCCTAGGGCATGGAGAGGTTAATTAACTTTCTGCTCATCACACGGCTAGAAAATCACCAAGCTAAAATTGAATCCTGGGAGTCCCGGAGCCTGTACTACTCACCCATGAAAGGGTATGCCTTTATGTACGGGGAAGCCACA